CTTAATCTTACAAATTTGTTAAAGTCTACGACTTTCTATGATCATTTCAATGACCTTTTTCGATGTTCTCCATAACTTGCCATAAAAAAAGTAAATTTGAAATTATGCCAAAAAATCCACGCTATGAAGGCATTATCCCTAGACCAATCTCAAAACTATCATCTTCAGGAATTCTCCATGATTTTCCACAATCGCATAATCAATCGTCTGGTTTTCCATGCCTAGATAATGGAATTATTGATTTCCTCAAGATTTCCATGAACTTCATCCATTAACATGACACTTTTAATTCATAAAGGGCTTTTTTGCTCCATTAAAATCCCAAAGGTTATAGTCAGTATTTTCTTTAAAAAATATTTTTAATACAGTAGACTTACTTCACATGAAATGTTGAGGGAGTATTCCACAGGCTAAATTGATTGGAAGCTGATAACTACATTCAGTGCTTAGTTTGAAATTTGTAGCATAATGAATAAACATTTGGGTAAACAACTTTTGTATTGTTTCAAGAGCACAGATGTGTCCAAAATGCCACTTTCCTCAAAATAACATTCTTTAGCCAACAACTTGTTTTTCTACACAATTAAGTCACAATGTCTTCAGGAGGCACATATTTCAAGGTGCAAACTTTGATGCAGAGAAACTTGTTAATGTAAAACCTTCCCATTGGGATTTCTTTATATCAGTTAGGAAAATTTGTAAGTATTTCTGTCTGTACTACTGATCTAGCACAGTTTACATTCCTTTCTTATCATAATTTCACTTCATATCTCTGCTTATTCATTGGTTGTTAAATGTTGACTTAATGTCTGCCCCACTTTTTAAAAATAATTATTTTAATGTCATTTATTTGCAAGACAAAAGAGCAATCCTACATGTAAGTCAATCTGTGTTCATGACAATTTTGCTACATAATCTCCTTAACAGGGAAAACATTTTCATCAGTATGCAACATGTCAAGGTGATAGTCTGATTACACTGCCATTCTGTAGGACTAACCTAGACACAATGTTATCTTTCCTTCAGAGTCTGTTCAAGAGAAAACAAACCACACTTGATCACAGGAAGTTTCAAGTCCTGTATCTAGAAGGCATCACCACCATCAAGTTGGATAGTGAAACTCTTGTATTATTTAGTAGTGAAAAGATATTTTTTTACTGACATCAATATAAAGCTCTAAATATTATTTAAAAAATTGTTCTAGAAAGAAAAAGATGTGTTTTTCTGTCATCAGCTAGCTTCATATCAAGATTTAGCAAAAGCAAACGAGAAAACAGTCAGTAAAGATAACAGTGTTCACCCCCAAAGAAACTGCAAATGTAGAGGGGTCATCACTAAAACTCCGAATAAACTAAAAAAAAATGTTCAAATCCTTTGACCAGTACTATTAGTACCAAAGAAATTCTTCACAATTAATACTTGGCATATAGCCACTCCAACAAGGGCAACACTTTGTACAAGAGACCACCAAAACACTCTACTTCCACTCCTAGTTACAAGAAAATGACTCTTTACATTCTTCTTTGTAAGGTAGGTCTGGTAACCCTGAGCTTTCTCCAACTGCATTTTTATATTCTCAAGTGTGGTCTGTCAACAAAAGGATACAAAGGTTAATGAACATAGGCCTTTAAATATGTAGATTGGAGTTAAAAATACTCTTAGAATGAATTATTTAACTCTGGTTAGGGTTTAGATTTTTCATTGTGTAATGGATTTGGTAATGTAGAACTAGGGAGACAATATGACAGACTTGCTTGAACTCATCCTGACTTGTAATTAACTTTGATCTACAACATGTGTTTTCCAATACTGAAACATCCATCATCCATTCTAGCTCAGTTTAACAAAGAAAGCTAAAGCCTGCATACAAGAGTGACTCGCTCAGTTGTCAGAGCCTATCCTGCACTCTGTATTAAGAAGCAACCAGCACTATAGCAAATTATAGATGGAGTGCTAGTCTCTCTAAAGTTGTCCCCCTGCATTACATGGAATCAAATGCAAACTTAACAAGGATCAGATTTAAATGTTTAAATGGATTTCATGTTCAGAATTTGCCCAATGTTTTGTGCAAACATGGAAACTCTGGAACATTTTAAATGAATAGTTCCCAGTCTTGCATGAAATCTGACAATACAACATGGCCTCACTATGCATAGTTTTGAAAGGCACATTTTACTGTGTAAAGTAAACTCGTATATTTATTAGCAATACCCGTAAACTTTCAACTTGTAGCTGCTGGTCTTCTATACTTTTGTCTCCCTCCAGCTCTGATAACCAGTTGTCTATGTCATCACTTTCAAGTCCTAAGTCTGCATAGACAGTTTTCTCTGCCAGTGTACTGAATGAATTATCAAAACAGAATGCATATACTCCTTTCTCATCTGCTTGGACAGTATGTAAGTCATCTGTTTTCTTTTGATCATCCACTACCAGTGCTCCACTAGGAGAAATCACTTGAAAGGTAATGTCCATTTCTCCCCCTCCTTCAACCACCTGTGCAATTGCAGAAAGAAAAAAAATGAAATAAAAACACAAAGGATAAGATGGTTTTCATGTGAGCCAAATCTGTTATCACTTTCACCTAGCAATGGCTTCTTACAAACTTGTCGTATATCTTTCAAAGGCTTCCATTCAAAATAACAGAGCATGACATCTGAGAAAACCTTACATAATTTTGTTTAAGTGGCAATATAGTAAAAGTGTTAATATCATTATGATTAAGAAACTAAAACAGGTTATATTTTTCTTCAGCATAAAAGGTCTGTTTGCCTTCAATCAAAGAAATTTACTTTACCATCCTTGGTATAACAGAGCTTCTGGTCAGCCTTCATACCTAAGAAATATGGTTAACCAATCCACCCATGAAACTTATGGCCATATGTCTGTATTTCCTTCTTTAAATCCAATTGAATAATATGATGTTGAAGTATTGTCTCATAATACAAATCTTATTACGAAAAATTATTCTGAGCTGATAACGTAAAGAGTTTCAACGCCAACATCAATGCCCTTCATCTTTTGCTCTGATGAAGGGCTAATGCTCTAAACGTCAGCTTTGAAACTCCTTATGGTGGCCAATTTACACTATCAACTTAGTTGATAAAACCAAATTATCTTGTCACACTTCCACTAGCACAGCACCACAGTCTCTTTAGTAACTAACCCCCTTTATTCATTACCAGCCTGTTGTTTTCAGCAAATGAGAAATTAATTTAAGGTTTTCCTCGCCTGCCAGCAGGTTGAAATTGGGATAGATGTTAAATTGTGAAGCCTCTGTCTAATTGCAGAGAAATTGAAATATATCAAATTTAGCCAGGAGACTAGGCTGTGCTGTTTTCCACAAAGGTGATGATTATTAGACGAAGTTTTAATAATATTATTTTCTAATGGTATTCAAATTCTAGAAAAACACTTATCATCATTGGCTCAATTCAAGCTCCTAGAATGAAATACAAATTTCATATTTCTGAACGCCATCAGTTGCCTAGCAGAGTACCGATAAATTATTGTTTAAGTTTCCAATAGAGGCAGGCGATTTACCGTGAAATATTAAGTCCCTTCAGTGAAAAAATTTCTGTCGGGATAAATTTTCACGAAGACGTTCGAATAAAGCTTACGTGCTGATAATTCATTCTGCCTTTTAAACAGTTCTCATGTGTTTTGTAAGTTTAACAAGAGAACTTAAAGTAAATATTTTATCGAAACCCTCAGATAGGACACTGCACTAATATGCGATGTACAGTGGTATACCTAAGTTCATAACTCTCACCTGATATTCCATTTCCAAGGTTTTATTAACTTCCATATTCTCGTAAAAGCAGTTCACTTTTCCTGCCTCTACGATGGTGGTAAACCCGTTCAACATCGCTTGGGACAAGGGTAGCAAAGTGAGCCATTGTACAAATATGCCGAACAAGATGCGAGTAATTGAACGACGCATTCCGAAAAACTACGATAAAAAATCAAACAAACTGAATTAAATCTACAAACTGAAAAGCAATTACTAGACTATCTCAGTCGTGTATTTGTAAATTAACACGGCTGATTCCTCATTTTGCATATTGAAGACATCTACGTGGACGTGTCCTGCGAGAGATGATACCAGACTTCCTTCCCGAGAGTCTCTGCACACCTGTTGCGTTGCGGGTACCTGCGGTATGTGGGTGGTGACAGATGTCACGCAATAGCATGCGTTACAAACAGAGGCCAAAAAGTTAAACCACTCGAAAATTTTTAACAGTATCAAGACGCATCTTTCATTTCATCTGGCCAAGTGCTGTTTCAGGTGCGTCAGCTGCACAAATGTAATTAAAAGTTTGAAAATTGAAATACCATTTGTTGGGATTGCGCCCTTGTCAGATGGAAACCCGCCTTTAAGAGCACAAGCGACCTGCTATCGCCACTAATACCTTGTGTGGTGTTGGTTCTTCCCTTTTTCATATATCTCCATCGGTGTTGAACTTCAACTCCACGATGAACACCACAAAGAATAACTACAGCCAGCACGGTCAAGCTTACAGGCGACGCTGGCATGGTCGTATTCCTTGCCATATGAAAACCCGTCTTCAAATTTTTATGTAGTGTTTACATAATCGCCACACATCTACGCCGCTCCGTGGGTGGAAAAAGGAACAAACTCCATTTAAAATCTTTTTAACATTAAGATATAGTTTCTACAAGTTGTTATTTTTGGTCGCCTGAAAGTGATCAGCTGTGTGATACGGACTGGCCTAAAATCAAATATTTACCCCAAATAAGCTGTAATGTCGCAAACTGATTAGCTATGGCTCGTTTTATTTTCTCTTTTCAAATCACCAGCGCGGCGAATGGTTAAATAACAAGGGAATGTTCGGTGAACCGTGATAACTTTTTTAGTTTGATCCTTTGAGGGCTTTGATGGATATACGAAAACAATTTTTAAAATCTTGCGAAAAGAAAAACAAAACCGCAAAACTTACTATTTCTAGAGAAAAGAACAAACAAACAAAACGACAACGACAAACTCTGAAGGGAGTAACGAATCTTTCCGTTCCTTTTTTATTCTTATTATTGTCAGTCTTTTAGGGGTAGAAAGATAACACCTTCGAAGATCTGAATGTCTCTCATAGGTGTGCCGTGTCTAAACGTGGAATAGGGTTGAAAATATAACGTTTCATCTAAGGGCAATGTTTTGCAGCATGAAAAATAAATAAATAAATAAATAAATAATAATAATAATAATAATAAGAATAATAATAACAAAAACGCAAAGGTGAGTCCGGCACAAAAAGCCTTTTCATTTTAAATCAAGGAAAAAAACGCTAGGCAAGCTAAATAATCTCGGTAAAAAAAACCTAAACGGTCGCACACATCTGCTCTCAGTAATTTATTTCCTCAAAGGAACGTCTCTCAGGGTCTCTAAATTTTAAACCGTTGTCTTGCCCCTTGGAAAGTTACCCTATTGTACAAGTTACCATCGCATTTTTCAAAAAAAATTTTCGCAAAATATTCTAGAGTTATTGTAACGAAACACTTACACGAACCCTTACAAACACGGGTTTGGATCTTTGTTTTAAAAAGGAAAGAAAAAACAATGGAACTGCTTATAGTCCACGTGAGTCAAACACTTGGAATATCATTTCAGGGAGACAAGATTAGCTAAATGAATTTGATTTCCTCACATCCATCCGATCGCAATCATTCTATTAAGTTTCGTTCGTTACAGCACCATTGGGAGTTTTTTCAACGATTGAATGACTCTGTTCTGCAGAGTCAAGTTCTTCAATCTCGGAATTTGAGTCAGAAGTCGCTGATTGATTAACTCCATTACACAGTTTAAAGTCAGTGTCTGTGAGTTTAGTTGGAAGGGATATCTTCAGATCTGGATGAAGCCCATTCGGGACAGAATCGTTGTTTTCCTCACATCCCGCGGAGTCAGTTACACTTATCTCATAACATGTGAGATCAACCAGGGGATCGGAACCATTTTTAGAGTCTTGCTCCTTTTCAACGAAGTCTGTTTTAGTTTTATCATTAGTATCACCACTATCAATGGTTTCCCGTTGACAATTCGTGCTCTGTGATGGCAAAGATTTATCCTCATAAGTCAAATTTTGCTCCAAATTGGTTTCTAGAGATGTAGTGCGCTCTATAGAAGTGTCTTGCGAAGTAGATGGCAATGTCTGGTTGTTCATTAACCAAGCTGAAACATCACAATTTGACTTTACAGTTTGTGTAACCATTTCACTGACGCGGTCTGAATCCGCTTTCGTTAGCTTTTCACTCGGAGTTGTAAACTGTGGGGTAACTTTTTTAGTTGAAGAAGCATTTTCAGCTGCAGCCGGTGCCACGCCTGGCGAATTTATTGTTTTCAATGGATTGCTATCCTTAAGTAGAGAAGAAGCATTAGACTGAGTTGGAGTTTTACCCGCTGAGGAGGCGGGTTTACTGTTTGAAACAGTATTAGCTTCTGGTTTCAGCGACGACAGAGTCTGGGTGGCTGATATGACGCCTGCTGGTAAAACAACCTTTTGCCCTACAGTAGTCTGTGCAACCTGAGTATTTCCCACCACAGAAATACCTGTTCCAGATAACAGCGGTGTTGTGCTTGTTGTAGATGATGTTAATGAGCTTGACGGGGTGATAACCACGACTTTTTGTGATGCTGAAGGTGTAGGTACGACGATCGTTCCTCCCTTCATCGCCAAGGGTACGACCCCTCCGGCTCCCTGGCGTTGCACTAGAAGAACAGGGGAGTGTAATGACGCACTTGTAGTACTGACTTGACCACCCTTATTTGAATTCGTCAATGTACCAGAGGTCGTAGCCATATTGGCGATGGCAACTTTAGGAATGGAGACACTTGGAAGCTGAGGAGAATTTAATGCGATCGTAGTTACTCCTACTGAATTTGTCTGCGTAGTGGGAACGCCTACCGGAATAGTCCTGATATTTTTCTGGGTGCTCAGGACAGAAGTGTTTATAGTTTTCCCTTGTATCTGACTGATAGGCACAGCTTTCAACACTTGCAAAGGAACCCCAGAGCTTGACACTAACATGACCTTTCCCAAGCCTGATAGGGCAGTAACAGCTCCTGATAAAGAAGTCTTAGACACCGTGCTTGAGACAGTACCACCGATACGCGATGAAGGCACCACCACAACTGAACCGGGCGGTGCTACAGAAGAAGATGACAAATTGAAGGCAAGTGGGAGTTTCTGATGTACCTGCGCAGAGCTAGTGCTTTTCTGTACCGCTGCTGTACCAGCAGAAGACGTAGGTTCCGATGTAGAAACAGTTCTTGTGACAGTGTTAGTGATTTTAATGTCTGCATTTCCGGCGGTAGCAACTTTCACTGGTGGGGTAACTGTTTTCTTCTCTTGAACACCTTTCATTCCAGCTGGGATGTGGACGACATTCCGCTTATTTAATACAGTTCCTTTCTGGCAGGCGCCCGCAGCTCCTGTTTGAGACTCAATACTAGTCCCTGTCTGACACATAGCAGTAGGTTTGTTTTCGGCGACAAGAGACTGCTTCCTTCTTTTCTTTTTCAGTTTGGGAGGAGTCGTTTGAATGGCAATGGAACACGAATCATCATCTCCGTCCACGCATGTACTGGTAGCAGCAGCTTGTTCACTACCCTCGGCAATATTTGCATCGTCAGCTTTTCTCTTCAGCGGAAGCACACTTTGTGTTTCCGCGTTACCTTTGTTGTCACTGTTCTCACCACTATTGGACGCTTGCTCAGTACTTGCCCCTTTGTTTTTCTCGTTTTCTTCATCGTCCAGAACAAAGTCTTCGTCACTGGACATGTTCTGAGCACCAGCGTCTTCAATGTCCTCTTCAATGCTTTCTTCGCTGCCCCATTCTTCAGCTTCTCCGGCTTGTGTTACCTCTTCTGAAGGGGAAAAATAAAAATTAACCGTAAAATCAGTGATACTGGAAAACCTCCGCGAAAAGATAACACAAAAAGATCCTCATTTGCTCAGAAACGTACAGAGAATGTGCAAAGGCCATCAAGGATAATATGGTTCTTAAAGAATTAGACGAATACAAAATTTGACAAAAAAGATTTGACCAAAAAACTCCTTTGTTGACATCGGCCAGTTCATTTCGTCAAGGTTTCCGACAAGTCAGTCCGTGTCATAAACAGTAGTTCTTGTAGGAATAACTTCATCTTGGAGTATGAAGCTACATCATCGAATGTTAGTCCACGATGCAAATCATGTGCTGTGTAACATTAGAAAAAAGGGCAGAACCAAGGATACTAACTAAATACACTTCCAAAGGTGGCGTTTACCAAACACAATGTCAATCATGCTCCACATAAATACGTTAGAATTGGAGAAGACTGAACAATTGTTTTGCCAAGTAGGAGTCCGTACCTGGTTCATCAACCGGCTCAGGTTCTTGACTTTCCTTCATAATCTTTATCTTTGCTTTACTCGTCAACTTGCTGAAGGACATCTCATACTTCTCCAGTTCTTCAAGCAAACCAAACAGAGTTTGGTGCAGTTCAACCTCACATCGCTTCCTTGGGGGTGGGGGCTTAGGCTTTCTACCACGTTTCTTGGGAGGAGGGGGTGGTTCTTCAAACTGCTCACAAAGCTTCTTGAGAGATTCAACATCACTGGCAGAAAGTTCAAACCCTTCTGCAATTGTGTTCTTTGGCTCTTTTACTTCTTCATCCGGGGGCGGTGATAGTAGATTTTCGTTTTCCGGTTCGGGTGATGGCGACTTACTTCGAAGCTAGATAAAAACCCCAAAAAAACCCCCTAATTATTATGGTCATTCACGATTCAACTTAAATAAATTGACCTTTGGGTCAAAATAATCTACGAAACCGGAGCAATCTTACGTAGACTTCATCCAAGAATTAAGGTCTTGGCAAATAAACTCTAGTCTTCGACGTTTTTCGACTTAATCGTTATTTCCCATCCTTTGTTCATTTCTTAAAAACCAATTTTCAAGTTTTAACTTACTCCTTGCAGATTTCAGGACTGTACAAACACAGTAGGTACATTCCTGTAAAAATCACGCTGTAACACACAATTAACCACAGGCATTGACTAGAAAATATTGATAACTTAAAGGCCTTCCCTACCTGTCTAAGTCTTGTATCTCTCCTGGGTCGGGTGGGTGTGTCAGGTCGTGATGGAGCTGCCTTGCACTTTGTTGTCGATGGGGGAGGGGGAGGAGGTTGGGGCGTCGCCACCTGTAATGAAAGAGAAGATTTCTGTTAAGGGAGTTGCGTCATCCTCATGGTTTATTCACTAAGTTAATTTACAATCCATTTTCATCTTTTCCATTCTTTACCAGCCTTGCTTCTTCCTCGCTCATTGCTAAGTGTCTTGACTTTTTATTTAATACAGTCTTCTTTATTGTTAACCCTTTAACTCCCATGAGTGACCAGGACAGAATTTCTCCTTACAATATCAACACGGAATCAACTAGACAAGTGAGGAGAATAAAAAAGAAGACTCAATTAGGGGACTACAAGTTGATCCAATGCCAAATTCTCCAAATTGAAATTATAAGTATTTTATGGCAGACAGTAGGGAGAATTACTAATGTGATCTTGGGAGTTAAAGGGTTAAGGTTGTTGTCAGTGAACAGGTTTCAATAACTTTTTCCATAAGTGGCTGCAGATGATGTAATAGGCAACTGTTCTCGATAAAGTTGCACGTGATACTGGGATTAAAAAATTCTAAAGGAGTTAAAATGTATGTTTTACCTTTCTCTTTCTTTTGTTTAATGATGGAAATTCTAAAGGACACTGCTTGTAGATGCGCAAGTCAGAAGCAGAGAAGACTGGAAAATACAGGTACGTGCAGTTGTCTGCATCATTTCCCAATAACATTTCTCGTTGTTCAGTTGCAGCAATGGATGATAGATGATCGCGTAAATCATAGTCTCTCACCTAGGACAATAACAACACATTAAGTTACTGCATAGCCATTAAACCACTAAGGAATGAACTGGATTACACGTATTTACATGTAAGAATTTCCATGTTTTGATTTTTACTCTAAAAAGAAAAGAAATGTTACGAGTCATTGAGGTGAAAATAATTCCTGCTCAAATTGGAAGAACATAGAGGTTTTAAGCAAAAAGTAGCAACAAAATTGTTGACACAGTGACCTTTTTAACCTCCTATTACTTCATTTTTATTTGTTTTGTCCCTTACTAAGTTCACCTATCCGCCCCTTTCCCCCAAAACAATTTTGTACCATGATTCCATGAACTATTAGCTACAAACGCACAGCATTGAATGTCTTAGAATGGTACAAACCATAATGTTATTCTACACATTAAAAGAACTGTTCAAAAACCATGTGTGAACTGATTTTTGTCCCTGAAAGTGGCTTTACAAATCAGCAAAGTTTTATTGTTATTGGTAATGCACCATCAAAACTGAATGAAGGAGAGACATGAACACAGCCTAAATATTTGCATTAAATAGCCCTGTAGCTGACTCTACGGTGTATTTAGTCTCATTGAATTTGCTTTCAGTTCAGGCTAGTCTTACCAAACTGTTGTCACAGACACATTTAAGAATCCACACTCGCTGATGCAGAGTTAGGTCCATGAATGACTTCTCCAGTAAAGGATTTGCATCACCTAAAAACAATGAATACAATAATTATAATGCACAGGTCTACTATCATTGATGTAAAATGTTGTACAAGTTGTATGTGTATTTATATAATAAGCTCAGTTATGCACACATTCTGATTGGTTTTCACTTATGATCTATTGGAGGACAGACGTATAAATGACATTATCATTAAAAATTTTTAAAATTCTTTATAAAATAATTCAAATAGTACACGCTCTCTGATTGGCCATAAAACCATTTTACATGAGCGTATGTAAACACGGTTTTCGTTCCTCTTTCATTAGTTATTTTATAAAAGAAATGTAAAATGGTTTCTGTGTTTACATAGTCTGATGTAAACACTTGGGAGGTTGGGAGAACACTTGATAAGCTGGAAACCACTCTGCTTCGTGGTTTCCTACGCTTATCTTGTGTTCTTCCAACCTTCCACGTGTTTACATCAGACTATGTAAACACAGAAACCATTTTACACTTCTTCGTTATTATATAAAACAAATAGATTCTAAGTTGCTGTGTGTCTGTTCAGTAATAGATCACAGAGGACATCAAAATGTGGTAAGAACATCAGTGACACACTCAGCTGCGCCTTGTGTGCTACTATTCTGTTCTTACCACATTTTGACATCATCTGTGATCTATTACTGAACAGACGCGTGGCAACTTGGAATCTATTTGTTAACTAGACCACATTACAATGCAGATGAAACATACCCAGTACTTGAAAGATGGCCAAATCCAAACCACACTGGTGGCAAGTCTGAAGAAACAGATAAGTAAATAAATTTAACAAACTGTACAAAGAGTTTTGCACTACATTAAATCAGAGATCATGTAAATAATAAAGAAACTGAATAAATATCAATAATAGACAGGGTTTGCACACTGTCATATGTCATAAGGAGTTGGTTCTTCATGTTAATTGTTAGCAGGTCAGATTAGAAAAAAGGGATAATGGGCCACAGTAAACAAGTTGGTAAGTAAGGAGGAGGGGGGGGGAAGGGGAAGGGGAAGGGGATGGATAAGAACTATCATCACTGCACCAATGGTCCTTTCCTCAGTGTGAGTCCTTTCTGTAAAAGAGTTGTCCTGGGGAAGAATGAACTGCCCATGTAGATACATACTGTTTTACAGATCTATCTATTTGAAGATACTGCATACACAGTGGACACTCTATGGGATTTTCGATTATTTCAGTAAAAACAGTGTGCCATATAGATTAAAAAAGCAGTTGGATAAAAAAAGGCCTTGCCTGCTTGAGAAGATGCACATGCAAAAAAAAGCATGAAGGGAATCAAACTCTTAGAGGTCAGGAGGTTCATAAAGGATGAGGCTTGACCTTGGTTTCTATCGCAGAAGGACACTAGGAATATTACAATTTTTCCCAAGTAGGAAGCTAATCCATGGCACATACCTCCCCCTTCCCCTTCCCCCAGACACATTGTCAAATTTCCATCATATTTTGAAAGTTTTCCTATCTTTGATTATACTCCTGAGTGGAAAGAAGCAAGTAAGAGTAAAGTGTCTTTCCCAAGACTGCAACAAAAAGACCAAGCCAATCCAAAAGCCAATCCAAAAGCCAACAGCCTTCCCAAGTAAGGACGGATGGCAGAGTAAAAAACTGTGCTGTAAGTAACAGTTTGACTAGAACTTACCAGTACTTGGCCATCCTTCTCAGTGGCTTTGTACCAGCTATTTAATCTGTCACATAGCTTGGATTCCCACAATTTGAATTTCATTGGAGGCTTTTTGAACAAGCTGCATAAAAGAGATCAAAATGTATGTTCGAGTTCAACCCTAATCCTTGTAGCATTCAGTCAATTTCATTCAGCTTTAACAAAACCTCTGATAACAGTCGGCTTGAAAAGACAACATTTCCAGTCAGAAAATTAATAATCAAAACATACGTCAGAATGGACTTCTGAAGACAGTTTTTGTAAGGTTAGGTTATGTACTAGTGGGATCTCAAATGCAGATTAATATCATAAATTCATGTATCCCATTCATGGAAAAGAGAGCAATGATATACTTTCAGGGGCATACACTGTGTTGTTTTTCTTTATGTTAAACCCTGTGTCTACATAAGAGAATAATCAAGTGAATAATTAAATAATGTATTACATTATTTTTAATTTTGCAAGGTAAATGAAAAGCTAAATATTAGACAGATTAAATGCTACCAGAAAATCAAATATCTTAAGCCTAACAGAAAACTGTACCAGCATAAAAGACACACATACCAAAAATATACTGATAGACAGTAAATTGTAAAAAACATGCATGAAAATGATAGAAATGTTTCACCTTTTCCGCTGGTGTGGAGTAATCAACAGAGCTGTAAATATTCTAGCCAGTAACGAAGATTTACTGGCATAAATAAAGCTAAGCTCAAGCTCAGTAACACTAAGGTCTTGAATGCAGAGAAAATCTTTCAGTAGAAATAAAAGGCTAGCAATTGAAGGAATCTGTTGAAAAGAAAAAAAAAACCGGTATCAAAAGTTGTACATTGCTTGATCTTGATAATCAGGAACTTGCTCAAAGCAGCTACATGTACTTTGTAAATTTTCAAGCACCATACCAAAGTTTAAACTATATTCAAATTCTAAGAAACTGCAAAATGTTAACATTGAGTAATAAAATACTTATAAGGGAGGTAATGATAGATTGAAAATGAAAATGCTTAAAGATTGAAAAGGGATGACAAATTTAGCAAATATTTGATCTGAACAATTGGAGCCACATTGTTCAAGATGCACAAAATGTGATACTGCTTGGTATGTCAGAAGCCTGTATAACAGGACTTAACAAATTGACATTGACTGGCAGATAGATCAAACACAAACACCTATAGATGAAGATTTGCTAGCCCATGATGGGTGCTAAAGGATTCCACCACTTGTCTGAGTAGTTTTCATTGCTGTAGCCACACACAATTACTGCTTATTCTTTTAAATTAACGACTATTACCTCCCACATTGAATGCAGCTGTTTAATCATATCAGGATCCAGCTCCTTCTCCTCCCACTCTGCTAAATCCTGAAGCAATACCAAGTTGGCCTCTTTTTTCTCCTTCTCACGTATTCGACGGCGCTCACGTTCCTCTAAATCTTCCTGAATCTTTAGCCGTGTAAGCAAAGAGGATGATTCTTCACCATTTATCATGCTGACATAGGAGACACGGGTTGCTCGTCTACGTCCAGTTGCCCCTAAAACAATGGAAAAAAGAGAAAAATATATATATATATATAAAAGATAAAATATCTATATATCCCCAAAAGAAATTCACCCCTAAGAATACTCTGATACCAGTGTAATTGACAATTAATACCTTAACCCTGGCTTTTATTCACATTTACACTGGGGTACATCTATCACAATGACCAATGACACATTATTTTTTTGATGGTTCTATATTAACGTTAAGTGTCATGCTTGTCTATAAATTTGCTAATTAAGTAGACCTATATTCTTTCATTGTACAGTAGCAACACTCATCAAAGATTGCCTAGACAGTATAAATTATTACCTTCTGAAACTTCTGTAGGAACAAAGTCACTCCTCAATGCCATGGTGGCCTCCAAACTCACTTTGTCTCTTAAGGACCTACAATTAAAATTTAAAAAACATAAACATTTCTCAAATTGATTCTCCCTCTAAGTGATTCTTCAAACTCCAAAAGGGCTTCTAAAACCAGAAATAAGGTAAAACAAAGTTGTTATATTATTATCATTATCATTACAAGAAGGCCACGTGTTTGAAAATGAGGATTTGCAGTAAGTATACGAGTCAACTAAACTAAGTGTTATTCAGAAATTTTTTAGTGGCCAGCCATAAAAACAAAAGCTGTAATAGTTTGAAGTTTACCTCAGATCAAGACAGGTATTTTAATGTGTATGTTTGATAAAAGTAGCCATCAGTTCAGAAAAAGTAGCCTATGAAAATGCTGGCCATCAGTGCTTCTGGATAACTCTTTTCAACTAATAATAAAATAGAATGGTCATTTTATGCATAATCACCTGTTCAGCAAAGCCAACTTTTGTTCCAGTATCTTCTCCATCTTGTGGCCAAGTTTGGACACCCAGTGATCTGATCCATTGTAGCGGTAACAGTTCTCCAGAATAAGACGAATGTCTGCTATAACCTCAGTGATGCTCCTATACTCATACTTGTTAAATTTGTCACCAACTACAACAAAAGAGGAAGAAAATTAGAAACAATATAAAAGTTGAAATGATAGATTAGTTTAGTTTCAGGTGACTTAAGATGAAAAAAAAAAGTTTTGAAAAATTTTAATAGGTCTCACTTGACCAAAATTACTAGTTGCTGCATTTCCTTAGAACTTTTGAAAATGAGAAAATTAGAGATCACTTTGCTAGAAAAGAATTAGAAAAATAATCATATCTCTTTTACCAACAACATCTTTCAAACATAAATAGAAAGCAATTTATGTTTCTGCTGCTTAATATAAATATTCCTGAAATTTTTCAGAGCCTAAAGTAACTGTAGGTGGCTAAACAGATTGCCAGGGACTAAGAAATCTTCTAAGATAGGTGCCCTAAATCAGGGTACTTTTCCAAACATTATAGAGAAGTTTGGTATAGAGAATTGTTAAACTTTTTTAACATATGTTGACTCACTGTCTTTACAACAAAAACACTAAATGTGTGTTCATTTTAAATGTTACTCAAACCATGTATGAGACAAACTTGGTCTAGTAAGAGAACAGAACTTGCTTTAATGGAAGAATATCGTGCCGATAAACCATGTGATATTTATGGGGATTCCCTTGATCAGATAAATTTCAAATTTTATACCTTTTGGTTTTTTTACCCATATAAAAAAATTCTGGAGCAAGCAGATATAAGAATTTATGATGACAAGGCGAAGATGGAGTGATCTGAATGCACCTTTAAAGATGAAAACGGAGTTATCATAACAGATTTACGTAACGTAGAGGTTTTTTTTAGATCCAAATTCGAGTGACTGCTAAAAATAATGCTCACATTACCAACTGTGAACTTAAAATGCACAATTAAAAGCAATATGAAGGTTAACAACTATAACTCAAGATGTGAACTTTTGATTTTGAAAGGGAAAGCGCTCTGGTCAAAATTAGAACGACGAGACAGAAATTTCAGTACGCCAACAAAATGTAAACATAAACGTGAATAAATGGGAGAAGATTTCTTTTTTTTCATGTCAAATACCTTTTCCAATCTGAATTTAAAATAACGTTTCGTCTGTAACAAAATGTCAAAGTTATTTAGGGCAGCTCGGTAAATGCGAAATTTCAGAGGTGTGAAAGGTTTAAATTTGTTACAGTTAGTACTGTAATAAATTAATTAAAACTTCGACTGACTTTGCTTGAAGCTCATCGGTTCCTTCACTCTTTCATGATAGTCCCACAGGCCAAGTGCCTTGGCATCTACGGGCTCCAAAAATGGCCAAGTTACATTCTTATAAGAATCTGCCGACATTTCGATGAAGACGCGGTAGCCCTGCTGAACTTCGGGGTTTAGTTTAGTAAGATCCAGTACGTTCACTTGCGGTATCGGCGATTTTTCCATTTCCGGCATTTGAACACGAGTTTCTGAAACTTCAACCGGCGCGATTTCACAAAGCTTTTCGGACTCTTCAACTGGATTTTCGACCATAACTTCGTCCGTTTCCATTGAAGAAGTTTCCATTCTGAAGAACTAGGCCAACTGGATGGTCCAATAGAAGTCCAGTGGTATGTTTGTAGCCCAGTGTCTATCAAGTTTCTACATAAAGATAAGTATGAAAGGCAAATGCTTGTGAACCATGCCAACTTCTACCGCGCCGCATTGTTGATGCGCAGTCTAAAGAACAAAGGCCGCGCGCCGACTCAGTAGGACAAAACGCGACAACCAAGTTACAAATGACACGATTTTGAATCTAAAGGCAGGAACTAACCGCTTAAACGTCTTCTCTAGCTAAAGACATTTCCTATTCCAAGCCACATAGCGGAAAACGAGTTCAATTATCATCTAGAATAGAAAAAAGTCAATCTGAAACTTAATTAAACGAATTATCTTTGGCTAGTGCCAGGCCTTTATAGACTCACGCGATTTGCACTTTTCAACCCTTATTTTGAATTTTCCTGGAACGGCTAAGTTAGAAATACTACCAAAGGCTTTAGTCAGACATGAATAGTGTGGGGGTACAATTTATCTGCTATTTTGGGCCTAAAATCAGCAAATTCTGACAATTTTGTCGATATCGATTTAACGAGCCCGCGATCTACACAGGACTTCATTTCCCGCCTAATTCAAACTTTCGCGCTCGATCGATGGCTCATCACAGAGAGAATGAAAGATGCCGCTTTTAGGGAAGAAATCTTACAAGCCAAGCCCGTTTCCGAATGATCTGAAGTCTGAGGAAGAGGTTTTTGTCATCAAAGAGACGAATGAAGTCTTCAGGTCGTACGAGTATCCTTAAATAACGTCTGCAGGACTGCGAAGAACATTAGTAACAATGTCTTCTGTAGCGGATAGGTAGTCACTCGAATACATTATAGACGATTTTTGATGGGCTTTCCTCGTGATATGGACCTTGAAAAATTATTACTGAACCCCTCATTCATTTAGACTTACCTCCAAAACAGATAAAGCATTTTTAACGGAACATTTCTTGGGGTGATTAAGTAAATTTGACCAGAATCTTAATACCAGAATTTTCTCGTTGATCTGTGCAACTAGTGCGTTAGAATTACTTCTTGCGAGCTATCACCCCGTAATATCTCTCTGCAGGTAGTCGTGACTTCCATTCGGCTACTAACCTTGTGTAAATGCAGTAAATGATAAATCGTAGATCAAACCACAAGGGTTGTGTAACTGAAACCTACACATTTACAATTTCAAGAAATTCTATGTTTTGTAAGAGAACATTACTTCATGTTTCAGTGAGATACCTGGCATAGTTTTTATTGGTGGTGAAGATGCCCAGATGCCCAGTCAATGGGGCTACCAATGGTTAAGTTTTGTGCCTTTTTAATCCTTTACCCAATCCCAAAGAGGAACTAGCAATGGTATCACCCCTGAATCAACCACTTGGGTCACAAGAATGAAGGAAACGATCACCAACTAAATATTCTCTTGATTATTACACAAATCTTCTTGTCAGCAACTAAGGAAAAGTATAGACATCAGAAAGGAGAATATGCATTTTAATATTAGGATGTAAAGGGTTAAGAGTTTTTTTTTTGTGACCTATCTTGCTTTTTTTAAAGTGTATAACAGACCATCCTTGTAATAAAGGGAGCATTTTCATTTGTATGAAGATCGCATTATCAAGGCCTTGCAAATTGGTTGTTTGCATGTAGTGCATATTTCCTTTACGCAATCAAGTGAATATGTAAACCGTATCCTTTTGTATGGATTTCAAATCTGGAGCTGTCAGTTTACCGGTAAAACAAACCTGAAGTATGAAGAAGCTGTAGCAAGTGAAGAACAGGCACTGAAAAGACTAGAGAGCTTTCCAAAGTATTTTGAGAAAACAGTTTTGCAGATTGTGCATCACAGTAAGTACATTGTATAAGTATGTGCTGTATAAGTATGTGCTCTCATCACTCCTTTCATTAAATGTTATTGAAGTTCTAGATTGCATTTTAATTAGATGAACCTGACTCTTTTCATTGTTAACCCTCTAACTCCCATAAGTGACCAAGACAGAATTTTTTGTCATAAGATCAATACAATATCAAGCAGACATGTGACAAGAATCAAGAAATATATCAACAACCAGATTATTAGTTGATTTGATACCAAATTTTCTGAACTCACATCAGAAAATTGCTGATGAGATCATGGGAGTGAAAGGATTAAAAGATCATTGTGCCTTTTCTCATGAGTTACTCGTATAAAGATCTTATTGAAGGCTGCAAATAAATGTGTGAATTGGAACTCAGGAGGGTCTGTTTTAGTTGACTTGCAAAGTGAGAAGCAAACCAAAACTTAATCCACCCATGGCAGTTACTTGGGCACAGGTGATTAAATTGGTAACCATTTTCTATAGGTACAAGAACACTGCAAACTCTGGTACAAGAGTGTTACAAACAACTGGAAAAAGAATTTTCGCCAAATGAACCAGTAGAGTGTTTGGTCAATGGGAAATGGTAAGTCGTGAGTCAGACTTAAACTTGGGTATCAAACAACTGTTCACCAAAGTGAAGGTGGCTAACGTTGGATATTTAGTGAGCCAAAAAGCAGCGAGGTAAATATTGACCACTAGCCTTCAACTCTAAGTACACACTAAAACAGTATATAGCCAAAAAAGTTGATATTAACTAATTTATACCTGCAACGATTACAACATTTTTAGACCCAAACCACGGCAAGCTAGTTGAATGTGAATAGTGAAGGATATTGAGAGTTTGAGAAGTGAATTAATCAGAGTACATGTTCAATGTTATGCACTGTTGAAATATGTATAAATAGCTGATAATGATGGTTCATTCCACTTTTTTTCAATTGACTTTTCATTTTTTGTTATAATTTTTTCCTCCTTCCACCCATCTCAGGCTTCTAGGAAAAATTTTGCAAATTCACCACGGAGACAAGTATGAAAATGTAAGTTATTTTCAGGAAAAGGCAAAGAGACAGTATAGGTGTGAAAAACCTGGAAAGTAAATATAATTTAAGTTTGGGTCATGAAAGATTATGGGGAAAGACTGAAAGGTTTATTCTAGGAAAATGAAGCAAGATGTACTGGGAATTCAAAGATGGTTTTTGCTTTATGTTCAAACTAACTTAATTATTAATACCAACACAAGAAATTAAATTAATTAACTCATTTTCAGAGCACTGATAAAACATATGACTTTGAATCTGGTGAGATACATGACTGCTTGAAGAGCATTCCACCGGAGGAAATCAGGTAAGATATAGTATCTCTCTGTGTTCTGTAAATACAATCTTAAAGCTATGAAGAGTGAAAAATCTATTTCTCAAACTAAATGTCCTCAGTGTTCCCTTATGATGGAACTTCAAACATTTTTGACAATTTGTGTGATTAAAAGAAATTAACTTTACATGATATTGGTAATTTGAGTGATATTCTAATTATTTACACAGAAAAGGCTAACATCTAATTTAAAATATTAAATTACAGCTTTAAATTGTTTATAAAGCATCATATTCATTACTTTTTCCAGAATATTTTATTGTCAAATGGAACCATTTGACTAGCAGTTAGTTTTGACATTTTACTTGTTTGTGTATTATTGCAATGTCAAGGAAATTAAAAATACTTCTGCATGATCAATGAAAATGTCTCTTCTCTTTCATCCTTTAGGAGCTGTGGCCAGAAATTAATTCTTTTCATTGGTAGCTACATGTATATCTAAGTTTTACCTTTTTTTTACTTTTAAAGACGTGTTAAGAAAATCCCGTCAGAAGAGTTGCTTAAATGCTTCATATGTGTCAACACCCAAAACCCTTGGAGGAGTGATAACAGCCCTTGGGTGGTTAAGGTATTTCTTAAATGTAGTCACTTCATTCAGATAAAAATATAAATAAATAAATGAGCCACATGGCAAAGAACTTCACCAGCCACTTGTTGTGGCCGGTGAAGTGCATAGGCTTTGAGCTCTTGTATACAACTGTGCAATATCTTTTCATTATTGCTATTTTTCAGAGCGATATGGCAAAGAAGTATTCCCTTGCTGAAAAATATAATGATTTCTCTTTGGTATTGGGCAAGGTATGTTTTATAATTTATTTTTTACAATTTACCTAACCTTGAATACCCACTTTGTCTTTTACTTCAGACACTGTTCTGCTTTCAAAAAACGTCTCAACAACTCATTTGGCTGTCAACAGAAAAACCAATTACACAAACCAGTTGAAACTTAAACTTAAAAGCCTTTAACCCTAAGAGTGACTAACATCTAATTTCTCTTTACAATATCATCCCTGAATCAAAAATTGAGGTCATAAGAATAAATGAAATGATCACCAACTAAAGAAACTCTTGATTGCTAAACAATTTCTCCTTGTCAGCACCTTTGGAAATGTATAGAGAACAGTATGGAGAATATGTATACTGATGTTAGGGTGCAAGGAGATGAGCTTTGAGGCTTGGAAATAATTGAGGAAAGCAAGTTAGTTGCATCAACAGAATGAATCTTCAGCTTAGAGAGTGAATTTGAACCCACAGTTTGGTAATTGCCTTGATTTTTTCAGAAAACAACACCTTTGTCTAAAACTCCCTCAAAAGGCCACAAGAGCAACAAGAAACAAAAAAAGGAGAAAACTTCTGACAAGAACACATCACAAGGGAAGTCCCAAGTGAAGAAGACTGGCTTTATGCAGAAAAAACTTGACTCCTTTAGAACAAGCAGTAATGGCAAAGATATCACTGTGAGCCTGGCAAAGATGTCTGACAAGTCGCATAAAAAGGTAACACCATCAAAGAAGAACTTCATCGACATTTGTTCAAGTCCTGATAAAGATAATGACAAGACACCATCTAGTCAACTGCATGGTACTCCAATTAAATGCAGATTGGTTCTAACACCTATCAAATCACCTCAAGTTACAGCTGCAAAGAGTATCACTCCTGAAAGAAGTGTTGTAAGTAAAGACAACATAAACATGAAAAATATGGCTGTTGGAGAAACTGCAAATGATGTTGTCATCACAGGTTGTAAAACATCACAGACATTTTTCTCTCAGCCAAGTAAAAAAGTCAGGAGTTCTCCTAAACAGGACAAATGTGAAAAGTCCCGAGATGGTAAAGGGGTGTTGAACAAGAAATCAACAAAGAAAGGAAACATTTCAAAAAAATTATCAATAGTTAAAGGTACTAGCCTGAAGGAGAAGAGGCTTACTTATGGAATGGAATCAGTAAAAAAGAAGGCAAAACTAGATGTTTGTGTGCCAGAAGTGGAGTCAGTGATTGTGGACAATGATTCTGATAAGGATTTTCAATCCTCTTCTAACAAGGTAAAGTTTGTGCATGGTTGTCAAATAAAGAAAGATGTTATTCATTTTTTCATGAATTCAGGACAAAGAAGAATTCAGGTCCCCAATGTGATTATGAAGAATCAAACCTTACACCTTCTGATTTTGATTTGAACTTTTGGTAGAGCAGCAGAATTCAATTCAAAGCTCTGACGTTTGACTTTATATGCTTGGGGGGACTTAGATTTTTCCTTTTTCCCATACTCATGACCAGACTAATGACACCTTTTTTCTTTTTCAAAATTTTTTTCTTAACATGTTTGTTTATTTATGCACTTGACAACCCAGTGGGTCATCTTAAAATTGAGTTGAAATCCTTGATTTGGACTTCTGTTGGTGTCACCTGACCGTAGCTTTTCCTTCATTACCTTACATGTCCTGTCTAATAAAGAAACCAAAGTTAAAACGAACCTCAGTACCTCAGCCTTAGAAAATGGTTTTTCAGGGGTAAGCTCTAGCTGAGGTTTGAATACATGTAACATTTTAACCAGTGGCTGGTGATGGTGGGATAGGCAGCTTCGTGTATGACCATTAAATTACTGTACAAATCTGGGATCATGTTTTCTGTATGTTGGTCCATGTGTCAACCAACAGTCAATTACAGTGTTGGCCAACAGTCACCAAGTAGTCTCCCAAGAATTGACTCACCAGATAGATGAATAAAGGGGGTAAGTTTTGAGAAAAAACTGTGGTACTGCATCAGTGGAGGAGGAGGAGGAGGGTGGTTAATATAAGATAATTTGGTATTATCATTTGAGTTGATAATGTAAATTGACCACTGTAAAGAGTTTTTATAGCTGACATTTGAGCATTAGCCCTTCATCAGAGCAAAGGGGCTAACACTCCAAATGTCAGTTTTTAGAAAGTCTTTGCATTGGCCAATTTACATATCAATCATCTCAGTTACAAAAACCAAATTATCTAGACTCACCTACCTGGTAATAGAGACAAGTTGGCTGAGTATCTGTTGACATATTTATTAATATAAACTGATCCAGGGGTTGTCTGTCTGCTGTCTGATACTATCAAGCTACTTGGTTTTCCTTGGCTTCACTGTAAACATTGTTTTTCCTTTTCTAAGATTCCAGCCAAATTGAAGCAATCAAGTGGAAAAATGAGACAAAGAACATTGTTGGACCTCACTAAGAAGCCTGAAGAAGAGAAGGTTGCATTCCTGTCTTCAAAGATGACAGCCAAAAAACAGAAAACTTTGGCTGAAATGTAAGGTTCATGATTTTAAACCTTATTTCCCAATCATAATTTTTATTATTTCATTTTATTTGGCCCATATTTAGCCTCATTAGATGGTGTGTTTATATTAAAATTCATTTGACTGTGTTATAATTAACATATTGTTGTTTTTGAACTAGTGTTACAAATCAGTTATTCAAAATTTTACTGAATATTGCAAATAAAATCAAGAAAATATTCATCAAACTGGTATGATAATCATATCTTTGTGTAGGTTTAGTGCTGCCTTCAGGAAGGAGAAACCAGACCAGGTGATAAATGCGTTAATTCGGAAAACAGCTAAAGTAGTGTCTTCACCAAGCTGTCTTGCTCTTGATCTTTCGACTCCTCAACGGGACCATGTCACAGAGAAATGGCATGCACATAAAGAAAGATTAAACAGGTACTACAACTCTAAGTAATTACTAACATTTTAATCCTTTAACTTCTATGAGTGACTAGGGGGTAATTTGTCTTTACAACATCGGAATAATGTCAAACAGACAAGTGATGTGAAAAGAAAATTATTATCAAATCATGGATTATTAGTTGATCTAGTAACAAATTCTCCAAACTAATATCATAGGAATTGTATGACAGATAGTGAAGAGAATTACCACTGAGATCTATGAGTGAAGGGTCAAGGGTTCCAGAAAGTAAGAGGTTACAGTGTAATTGCTGTTTTCTTGTGTATTTCAGGAAGTTTAGTTCAAAGGTAAATGGACTTTTGAAGGTAAGGCTGATCCTCACTATCAAGTTCTCCTCCTTTATGATCAGTGTAGTTGCTTGGAAGACTAGTATATGAATTGCTGGAGATTGGTTAGCCAATCAGAATGTAGGGTTCTTTTGCCTGCTATCTTAGCTTGTCACATAATAAAAAAATAGGTGCTATCAAAGTGACAACTTTAGGAACTGATGTAGGTTTAGGTCCCATTAGAAACTGATAAGCAGCAGAAACATAGGCTTTCAACCTATGTTGCTTTTGCTTAATGAAACTGTGATGAGATACAGAAATTAAGTATTTTTGAACTGATTGCAACACCAATGTCTGGTTTAAAATGTCCAAGAATGCTGAAAATCACATTTCAGGAGAGCTTCAAATTTTTCTGAGGGATCTTGCCTCCAGATCCCTGAGAGGGGGGTATTGCAAAGCAACACATATTGCATGCTATGCAACACCTACTCAGTTCAGATCAAACATATATTACATTTCCTAATGACAACCCTGAAGTCCAGTAGCCTTCTAGAAGAAATAGTAATACTCCTGGTCATTGACTTTAAGCCAGGTGGAATAGGATGTACACTTTTTGAATATGTATAAAATATGTCATTTTTATTTCTTCAGAAATGTGAAGACAGTGATCTCATAGATGCTAAACCGCTCCCACCTTGTAAACCAGTGAACGTACCCATGGAAATCACAGCTGAGATGTTTGGTGATATAGCTATGATAGCAGACTTTGTGCATACCTTCTGTGATCTTCTTGCTCCTCGGGAAACTCTGCATATCTCTATTGGTAAATATCAAAATATTGATTAAAGGTTTTTTTTGCACCCAGAGCAATTTTCAAGTGGTAGTTGAAAGATATCAAGAGTTTCTTTGGTTTTGCTTCACATGACTATTGTAGCAATTGGTTGTTTTGACTTTGAGATCTCATTGGCTCCTTGTGATATTTTTCTTTCTTCTGATTGGAAGTTGTGATTGAAACATGCTCTGAGTGTTACAAGAAGAATTGATGATTCTGATCTGATCTTAAAATAATCTGCACGTGGAGTTGGTATCATTTTAAGTCATTATTTTGACAAAATGCGAGGAACCTGGCCTGGACTTTGAATCACAAGCTCTGAGACCGTTCTTTCTTTTTTTTTTCTTTTTCTTTTTCTTGCAGATAATTTATCACAGGCTTTGGTATCTGGCAAAGAAGGCTTCCCTCTGCTTTCAAGAATCTTGGTTGTCTTCCTTCAGATTTTACTGCAAGATAGGTCAACCAAGGTAAGTTCTGAAAGGAGATCAAGTAGAACAAAACAAAAAAGCTAAATTTAGTTGGACTGTTCCAAGCTCAAACTTAGTTGAGAGGAGGAAAATATTGAGCAAATGATGCATGGCAGTGTTTGTTGAAACATCAG